CTTGGGAGAAACTAAAGAATCTTTCATTTACTAAAGAAGCGTACATGATGATGGAGAAAACAGTAGCCTTCCTCGAGTTTCCATCTAGAGCTAAGAGAGAGACGAGAGCGACGGTAGCGAAAACGGTAGGACGCATGTGAAAATACCAAAGATTTTAGCTCTCTCCTGTTTAGGAGAAAACACAAGAAAGATCAAAACATTGACTATCTCGATTACAGCTCCTGTTCCATTGATTGTTGTCACTAAAGTGTTGTCTTTTGACACAAAGGGAAGTCCGTACCTACCAAGAAACAGAGGAAGAGTAAAAACCCTAATTAAACTGCTTAAAGCCTAATCTTAAAGGTGAAAGCTTTTTTAACCAAGCTGAGAGGAGACAGTTGAGGAGAGTCATTGGGTAAGGAATGCCGGAAAATTGCTCGGTCGACTTGTTCTTGATGATTCTCTTGAATGTAATCCTACGAAGAAAATGAAGAACAAGAACCGAACAAGCAAAATAGACACAGAGCAGAGTAAAACAAGTGAATGGTTCTCAAGTTGTTACTGTAAATTTATGAAACGAAAAGTTCAAGAACAGAGCAAAAAGAAGATATTGAGAAGGAGAGAGGCTTACGAAGGTGATAAGAACAAGAACAGAGCAGTTGCATTTCCTGCAAACAAGAAACAGAGTAATGAAAAATCTCAGAACAGAGCAACTTCTCTCGAGAATAGAGAGATTAGAAAAGAAAACAAAGGCTCACCAAAAACACCGAAGATGGTATGAGCAATATTCATTCTTGTTTTTTGATTTGATCCAAACTTAGCTAAAAGAATCTTTTTCTTAAATGTTTGTAAGTTTAGAATAAGAGAGAAAACAGAGGAGAAAGAGAGCTATCTGATTTTATTGGGAAGTGGTCTCTGTTTATATGCAGTGACTGCAAACTGTAAACCGCTTCACTCATACATTCTATTTAAAAAAAAAAAATTATAACCAAAAAAATCAAATATTCCTTTCTGTTATTATAGTGTGATAGTACAATGAAGCATCAATAATGATGTTATATGATATGATAAATTGAAAAATAAATTCACATATTTTCTTTAGAGTTAATTAAGTAGATAACCATAGAAAATATTCT